AATAATAATATCATTCATATAACCTAATCAAGTGTAATCATGTATATATAAAACCTAATTAATAAAACCTCATTTATTTTTCCTCTAAAAGAAGTTACAAAATTTGTCATTCATATTTTGTCTTTCACATTAATACACCCTATGAAGTGTAATCATGTATTTTTTTGCTCTTATATTATATAATAGTTAATGCTATTACCAACTCATAATAATTCACATTAAATATAAATTACATAAGTATAAACAATTCTATTGTTTCATGATATTATTATTATTATTATTATTATTATTATTATTATTATTATTATTATTATTATTATTATTATTATTATTATAGTAGTTAATGCTATTTTTTTGCTATTATATTATATAATAGTTAATGCTATTAATTTTTTTACATGATTACACTTAATAGGGTGTATTAATGTAAAATGTAAAATATGAATGACAAATTTTGTAACTTCTTTTGGAGGGAAAATAAATGAGGTTTTATTAATTAGGTTTTATTTATGAGGTTTTATTTAATGATTAGCTAGCAATTATATATATAGATTATACATACTAAAGAAAAACTTTTTCATAGTATATATTTAATGCTCAATTATTTACATAATTAATTGAACAGATTGGGCCTTCGCATAGTGCTGTTAAATAAAACGAGTTCGGTTCGGCTCGGCTCGAGTGCATTTAAAGCTCTTTCCGATCTCGACTCGATAAAGCTCATTAAGAAATTTTTTATATAATTATTTAAAATTCGACTCGTTAAAACTCGAGATCACCTTGAGCTCGATGCCTTAACGAGCCGAGCTCGAGCTCGATTTCTGGCTCTACAGCCTTACCTGCACAGCGTAGGGCTGCAAACGAGTCGAGCGGCTCGCAAGCCGCTCGCGAGCGCTCGAGTCAAAGCTTGACTCGTGCTCGAGTTTGACCACTCTTCTTTGAATGACCATAGGTTTAACCTGTTCACATCAGCTACGCCATCAGAGACTTGAACTCAAGTCGAGCTCGAAGTTCGAGTTTGACCGAACTCGAGTCGAGCTCGAGCGACTCGAGCACGAACTCGAGTCGAGCTCGAGCCTATATTTTGCCTTGTCGAGCGGCTCGAGATATACGTTAATTGCTAAAATACCCCTTATTATTATATTACCATAGGTGTTTAATGATAATTTTACCTAATTTTTTAGGCGAACTCGAGCCGAGCTCGAGCATTTTGATTTCGAGTCGAGCTCGAGCCTAAAAAATCGTGCTCGACGAGCTCGAGCTCGAGCGACTAAAAAAAATACTCAATCCTGCTCGATAAGGCCAATACTCGACTCGGCTCATTTGCAGCCCTATCACAACGTACCAGCCAGCCAAGGTATCAAACTAGTAAATAACAATGTGGTAATTAACATAAACTAGGTATCAAACTAGTAAATAACATCTATTAATATATAATAAGGATTAACATAATTCACTTTTAGTAATCTTTTCCCGCCAAATTCATTAATTATAGCCTAAAAATAGTAACTTAACAAACTTTCATTAATCATTGCCTAATTATATTAGATATGTTTTTCCGATTTTTTTTTCTTTTATGATATGAAATGAAAATCCAAAACAATATCCTCTTTTTGTAGGTCCATATCAATATGGAATTTAGAATCTCTTGTCTTACAATATTCAATTAAAAAATATATTATTCATTTAATACTTTGATATCTTTATGTAAAGGAAACAAAGTTATTATTTAAATCAGTTGATTATCACACAATATTCTACGCATATTTAATACTTCAGTTTGTGTTTGTTTTAATAAATTCTTGGTTTTCTTTAATTACGTTGATAGTGGTTTTGTAGGCAAAGATTATGTAAATAATTATATGTAGCCGATTTTGGAACTCTTATTTATCAAGGATTCTTTTTTATTTTAGCAGATTTATTTGAATCATTGATTTGGATTAGCATATATGTTACATACACCAAAAAAAATAAAATTATAGTAATATTTAAATTAACATGGCGTCAATTTTGAAATTCTCATTTGTGAGGATTCTTTTTTATTTTATTATATTTTTTAGAACCAACAATTACATAATATAAATTTATGTTCATATCTAAATATATTATATTAATATTTAAATATATTTTTCATTGTATCAGGTTTTGAGAATGAACGGTTTTATATGAGATATACAAATCTTTTTTTTAGATATAAACCAATTCCCTTTATTGGTATTCTTTTTGTCAATTGCTTTTAAAAAGAAAATTTTTAAAATTTTGTATCGTAAATCGATTTTTTGTTTTTGTATACACAAATTTATTGCAAAATCTATATATATATATAGATTTACTACCTAAAAAGTTGTCACACATATAATAGGAAAGATGTCCAGAAGCACCAGTTCCTTCTGATTTTGGGGTTCCGTTTAACAGTCATGGTAAGTCTTTTTGTATAAAAAATATAGAAATATTAGTGAATATTGTATAGTAATCAAGTATAATCGATATTAAACTAACAACTCATTGTCTGACTGCCTAAGTAAATTATCATATTATAAAAAGATCCATCTTAGGATTTCATTTAAATGCTAGAGCACCAATTACTTCAAATCTTAGGGTTTCAATTAAGATCAAGACCAGTCTTTATGTGCGTTGGCATATTATTAAAGAAATCGGTTCTTAGCAACGATCGATTATATGTTGTTGTTTTTACGTGTAAATAATAGATAAGAGATGTGCATTGACATGTTCTTAAAAAAATCTTTTTTGATCACGACTAATTGTATGTTGTTACGCGTGTAAGTAATAGGTTAAGAAGGGTCAAGGTCAACTTTTGTCAAATGAGAATTGACAACGATATAGTCGATGTAGATTTTAAGTAAACTCAGTATAAATCAGCAGAAACTTGTATATTTTAAGAGAAGATGGAATTTCTCTATGAATGTTATTATTGTATATGTATCCCTTTCTGGAGAATTGTTTTTCTCCTTTTATATTTATGTACAACATTTATCTGTATAGTAATCATTACATTTGAAAGGTCAAAGGCGGCTTCTTGCTACTTCTCTTGATAGCACGCCACTTGGACAAACGTAATGATGATTTATGCTGAGTTGTCGCCGCCTTACAGTGCTGAGATGGCACATTATAGATATCGGTTCATCCAGTTATAACCGATATGTTGTATCCGACATGTAGTGACCGACATGTGATGACCGACATGAGGTATCGGTCAGGTAATGGAGATGTTGGTTCTTGCTGAATCTCTCGTCATGCAGTCGTCTTGAAGTCGGTGGAAACGTCACGTACTTGCATGAATCTTAATTATCCCCATACTGACCTTAATCGCCTTAATCAACGTTGCTTAACTTGGTTCATTGAAAATGATATCAACAAGGTGCTCTTTTTATATTTATGTACAACATTTATCTGTATAGTAATCATTACATTTGAAAGGTCAAAGGCGGCTTCTTGCTACTTCTCTTGATAGCACACCACTTGGACAAACGTAATGATGATTTATGCTGAGTTTACTTAAAATCTACATCGATTATATCGTTGTCAATTCTCATTTGACAACATCAACATTTATTGTGCGTTGGAATGTTAAGTAATAGATCAAGAAGAGTCAAGATCAACATTTATTATACGTTGTCATGTTTTTAAAGAAATCGATTTTTAGTCACGGACAATTATGTTGTTTGTTTCGCGTGTAAGTAATATAAAAGTGTTGAAAATATTAGTTTGTGGGGACGACGAGTTGCTCAGTTATTGAACAAATAATGTTGTGTACAAGAAAGTTTAAATAATATATTTTTTGCATGAGGAACATTTTATGGTTTGATAATTTTCCTACGAATTATCACTCTTTTATTTATTAATACATTTTAATTTTTAATATTCTCTAAATTAAATACAGTCCGTGCATGGCACGGGTTACATACTAGTAAATAGATAAATAAAATGATGGCATAAGACAATTAATTACGAGGACTTGGAGTATAGATGCAATTCTAATCATCAATCTCAAATGTCGAATCTAATGCGAAAAATAGAAGGAAAATGGAAGAAGGGGCAGACGAAATGAAAGTGATAATGATGAATTCCAAGCTGCAAGCAAGCTAAAATCTCCACGCCCTTCTACCCAAACCCTAGCTCAAGCAAAAGATACAAACAGAACAAAAGTCAGCTGTTCTGTATTATATATGAAACACCTTTACTTGAAAAAATGGCGATAATAGGTGACGCCTTGCGGCAGGCGTTCATGCCGAAGCACGAGTACGAGAGCCTCCGCGAAGAGGAGAAGGCATGGCACAAGCTCCACAAGCCGCTGATTTCCGTCTTGCTTACCCTAATCTCGCTCGCTGTTTTGATCTCCACTGTGATTAGCTTGAAGATAGTTTTTCCGGATGACAATTTGCGGCGCCCCTTCTGCCGCGATCTTAGGATTCAGCCTCTGTCGATCAATTTCACCGCCGCGGCCGCCGGAGAGGCGGATCGCCTGCCTGGAGCGTTTGTTTTGACGGATCAGGAGACAGTTGATTATTACTGGATGGTGGTTTTCGTTCCATCCGCCATGGTTTTCGCAGCTTCTGTGGTCTACTTGATTGCAGGTCAGGAAATGTGATTCTGGAGTGATCGTGCTGCGGAATTGTTTGTATAATTAAAATGTTGAGTTTCTCCTGTTATTTAATGTACTGTTCACTCTCATTTGCATTCTCGCTGGTTTAAGTGGTTTATGCTTTAGCTGCTCAGACTGATTGTGCGGGTAATTTTGCCGTGTCAAGGTGGATTTGTTATTGGCAAATTTAAGCAGCCTGTTCTTTTATTCGGTCGCGGTGAACAAAGATTAGCATTTGTATTGTAGCCTGTTCGTCTTCGGTCTTCTTTCCCTAAGATGCTTTATTCATGTGCCTGGAAGAAAATATGAATCACATTGAGCACGATGGAAGTGAAGAGTGTATTGGTTTCATTTTCGTTGTTAAGGCAGTATTTAGTGTTTGCCTTTAACAGTTTACCTTTGCTGCGAATATGTTCTTGTTGATTTTCTTGTAATCATGATTGTGTATTCTCTCTCCGTTCACACATTTTAGATGTTGACTCTCGTACAGGGATTACAGTTGCTTATACTGCCCCCGCAAGACATGGATGCTTGAAGGTTGTTGAGAACAATTACTGTGCTTCAAGAAGAGGTATATTATACCTGTTTTGGCATTTTTATCTTTTTTTTTTTTTTGCGAGTCTGTTTTTGCATTTAATATATTGGTTTCTTCCAAAAGAATGCCAAAGTTAGTTCCTGATGTGTTTCTGTCACCAAATATAAATAGACACGACTCTGTGTGTGGCATTATTTGTGAAGTAATATAGGATAGAAGAAATGCTCATCGTCTACACTGAGAACAACCGGGGAAAGTAACTTCAACTAAGGGTAGGTATCTTATGTTTCATATCAATGTGTTGGTCTACAGTCCTCTGGCAATGAGCTGAATTACAACTAGCCATAAGATTGTAATAGATGTAACTGGACCTGCACTAGGATCACATTTGGTAGGAATAATTTGTTTTTTTAATATTTGTTTGCCTGTAATAACATAACGGGTTTGCATGAAATAGCACAAATTTGAATCTTGACATTTGACGTGCTAATAAATAGGCATGTGTGATAGCCTTAAGTTAATGTGTAAGAAGACAATTAATCGATTTGTGGAGTCGCATGGCAGTTATATTTTTACTGTTTCTTACGTTGAGACTGATTTGTGGGTTGCACTCATTTATTTTCCATCTTTTAGGCTCTGTGGAAGTGTTGTCATTTGATTGCGTGTCAATTTGTGTGTACTTTCTCTTTTCACTGTTTTTTGTTTTGTTTGTGTATGCAATCTTTGATTCCTCTTCTGTCGTGCTTTCTGGTATTTCCATGATTGATAAAATCATTCTCCGACACAAAAATAAATGCAATCCAATTTTCTTTTCCTATTATCATTTTGATAGGTGGGGTCCGCTGTCTGTCCATACTGAATGTGGTGTTTGCCATCACGTTTGGCCTCCTCGCCCTATTCCTCGGCTCGACCCTCCTCACCCTTGGCAGCAGCTGCTCTGTGCCCCTCTTCTGGTGCTACGAGATCTCGTCATGGGGCATGGTCATCCTCCACGGTGGTGCCACTTTCTTCCTCCGAAGAAAAGCGGCTTCGGTGCTCGACGAGGGTGACTTTGCTGGAAGAAATGTTGGGCTCGAGATGCTCGAGTCGGGACCCGTGGAGGTTACCCCAGACATCGAGAGGCGTGTCGACGAGGGTTTCAAGTCTTGGATGGGCCCATCTTTCCTGTCGTCGGACGAGGAGGACGAGCCCGACGCCTACTTGGAAGTGCCAAATGTATCGCACTTCAACTCCACACGTCAGAGGGTGTGAGAGCTCGATTGGTTTTCTGGGATGATGAGCTGGCATGAGGGGGATTTGATGCAAGGTTGAGAGCTTTTTATCAATTTGACTTGAGCAGCAAAACTTCTGTACACTGTTAAGGAACGTTTTTGTCACGGGCTGGGAAAAATCGGCTGTACCTCACAAAGAGCATTCTGTACTTCGTGTACTTGTGATAAATCACGGAAAGGTTCGGAGCAGGGCCGTCTCAACAATTTTGAGGGCCCTTGGGCAAGCAAGACACTAAGGGTCCGACAATCTAATTAAAAATTGAATATAACAATTGGACTATATAGTACTATTTATAAGAGATAACTTGCAATGTATATTTAGTCAATAAAAAAAAGCAGTACATTTAAAAAAGGTAAAACAATAGTAAAATTTTGGATACTTCAAATAAAGCTATGCTTCAGTTCTTTTTAAAAATCTGCCTTCGAACATTTCTTGATGCAAAATCTTCAAGAACAACATCAAGATCAATTTGATTCTTGATGTTATTGGGCTTAGAGGTTAAATTAATTATTACTTGAATTGGCCAATACATCTACTATACATGTATATACAGTATACTCATGGGCCCCCTAGCCTCATGGGCCCTTGGGCATCGCACCAGCTGCCACCCCCCTTAAGACGGGCCTGGTTCGGAGGTGTGATCCCTCTCAAAATATTCATTTTTTTTTTTATTTTTTTATTTTTTTTGTCTCCTTTTAGAATATATGGTTAGGATTTTGGCTCTAGTATCTGTAGCCTGCTAATGTGCAAAGAAGGACGAAAGTCAGCTCTTGCAAGTGGCAACATTTTCAGGTGAATGTATGAAGGAATTGGTGACCTGGTAAAAATTTGTGGAGAGGTGAATATATGGGGTGGCGTGTGTTTTGTGATTTATAGCAACATGTTAAGGAGGTTAGTAATCAATTTAAAACTTGATTATCAACGACGCTACTTAACTATTAAAATAATTAAATAAATACGAAACAAACAGTATTGTTCCTCTATCCACAGTGGACACATATTAATATGTCCACCGCTTATGTGGCATGTACACATTGGTGATGTTAATATGTTCAAAAAAATACATCACCAATGTGTGCATGCCACATAAGTGGTGGACATATTAATTTGTGCCCACCGTGGGTAGGGGAGCATTACTGTCGAACAAATAGATTGAATCTATACATGCATAAACCAACAGTCATAAAAATTAAACAAATTATTCATTAAGTTCCCAAAACCAAACAGAAGGTTTATCATAATCCAAAGGTTCATCCAGCATATTCATAATATCCAAAGAGGAAGCAGAAATATTCAAAGTAAAAGCAAATAGTTCAACATGAACAATAACATGCGGAAGCAAGAGACACTAATAATGCAACAACGAATCACCATCACTCGATCGTCTTCACGCCGCCACCGCCGCCGCCAGCCATGCTCAACCTAAAGAAAGGAAGAGGAGACAGAAATATTTAAGTTGTGGTCTACCTTATTTTTTGAACCATTAACAATAAATCAGTCCACTATAGGTTTATTATTGCACAACTATTTCTGCACTTTAATTACTTGGGCTCCACTATCTTCATTTTACCTCTCTGTGTTTAAGATATTGACATAACTTTCAATTACTAAGAATTTAATTAATTAATTAAAATTCTTGATTTTTCAAAATTACTATCACTTAACAGTCAATCCTTATTATTATGTCGGAACTCGATCCACCTGCAAGGCTTGACATAATAATTTTTGAGTTCATCTCGGGGATGTCATTAACCTGGTGCATCAAGACACAGTGGCCGAATATAATCTTTTGAGTTTGATATGGGATAACGCACCAGGTCGAGTAGACATGAAAAGTGAACAAAGCGGACCGAGTCAGTCATCAGGTTGAACAGAGAATGAAGACCCCCCAGGTCGAAGAGGACATCAAGGATGTGAGTGGTACCAGCAGTTCAAATTTGGGTCTCCGGATGGTCTGGTGGAAATTCGAACTGAAAGAGCAGATGGTCGAAGGATCTGACCAAGTATGCGTAACATCAGAGCTCGACATCAATGATACTTCACCTCGAGGTAATCAGACTCAGTTGTACGATTAGACAAAGATAAGAAAGAATATTATGGGAATTAAACCCCCACGGGGATATGACCACGTGGCCTAACAGAATTTGGCAGTTGGGGTAGTCCGGGTAGTCTGGGCCGCGTGTTCAGCTTGAGCAATAAGGTATCATCTCCCTACATAAAGAAGTGAGGTATGCCTTGAATTACATCACACTCTTTACATACTCTTATACCGCACTTCATCTTTTACAAATTCAAACTTAAGCTTAAGAGGCTCTTCACTAGAAATCTCCTCTAGAGTGAGAGTTCGGCAAATTCAAAGGCGTTTAACCGATGATCAAGCTCGAGATCTAGCCATTTTCAGCCGGTTGAAGGTCTTCACGATACCTTTTGGCGCTGTCTGTGGGACTTTTGTTCGAAAAGCCAATTTTCACCATAGCCATGGTCGATGAAATTCCAAAAAAAAAAAAAAACTAGGAGCAGAATTTTGACGACGTATGGCCAAACATGCTTCCGTTTGGAGCAGGCTCACCGTCGGGCTTCTTTGGACCTTCTCAGACCCCGATGACTCATCTAAGGGCTTACGAAGTTCATCGTGTTGGGTTCTATTTAGGAACGTCGACTATGTGCACATTCAAATCTATCGAAAATAAATTCTAACGCAACAAAATCTATAGTTAGGAATAAGACTTACTGTTTAAATTTTTTGCCGACTCTGAAACGTTTCTGATTACCGCTGTAAGAAATCATCTGAATTGCAGTTGGGCAGCCGGACTTGACCTCATCAATGCGTCTCTGGTTGCTCGTCGAGTTGTCTCGGACATTCGGTAGGTTAGTTGGACTCCTCAGATTGCTCGGGAACTATCACGAACTCGAACTGGGGCTTCTAGACTGAGTTGAACCGGGTTGAACTGGTCTAGGCCATCTGGACCGGGTCTGGTCGGGTCTGGGCCGGACTGGGCCAGTTCGGGCCGGTCCTAGACGTTGGGCACAAGGAATGGCTCGCTGGCCGCGGGCTGTGTGCGCACTAGGTCGGGTGATGAGGGATCGTGATTTCTGTCTATTGGTTGTGAATAATCGCGCACTCAGGGCCTTCGACTAAACACGATAGGTGTGACTAATAAATGCACTCTCTTAGACACGATTTGTATGATAAACACGCACTACGGCCTTGCTTAAGCACACGACTGAACACAACGTTCCTTTTCCATTCACTCATTAAACCATCAATTCTGGACATAATAAAGAGGTACATGGGTATTTATAGGTGCATAAATAAATCTAAGCCTAATCAAACTAGATCTCCTAAATCATGCAATAATAAAAATCCTAAACATATTAGAAGTAAATAAA